AAACCAGGAAGCCAGTCTAGCCCCAGTGCCTGGCCCCCCACGCCCGGCGCAGCGGTGGCCCTGGCTCTGGGCTGGGCTGCGTGAGAACAGTGAGGTGCGTTTCCCTCATCCTCGGGGCCTGTCTGTGCTTGCCTGCTCCTGCTCCAAGACCTCGGGACCCTGCGCTCAGCATTCAAACGGCTTCAGGAGCTGACTCCCACCCATTCAAATCCCTCTGCTTGGGTTTCCTACTCGGGCCTTCACACAGAAAGGTTTTTATGCAGATGGGCGTCCTACATTTTTCAGCTGGCTATGGGAAGAGGTTTTTAAGGAGAAAAAGGTAGAGGAAGTGGTTCTCACAGTAAGTGTTCCCCATTCCTTTACTCACAAAATGATGCATCTCCACTGATTAGACTTGGGTTTGTCTTGGCTCATAACTTGTGGGAACAGAGGTCAGTGAGGTCACTAGAGGTCAGTGATGTTGGAACCTTTGGGAACCAGAGAAGCAGGTCCTGCCTCCTGAAGAGGCTGGAGGCAGAGCCCAGGTTCAACCCACCGCTAAACAACTCCAGTGCCCAGCAGGTTGGTTTTGTGATTTGAAATCCTTGATTTATCTCCTTAATCCTTGACTGACTTAAACTTTCCTGGACCAGCCTACCTCCCTAGGATTGAGGATTAGTTATGAGGTGAAAGTGCTTTGGAGAAGCAAAGTCACCACGCAGTTAGAAGCGAGATCTGGCTCTGATTTTCCAAGCTCTGGATCACATTCCCCTATCCTGTGCCTCTAGTATATGGAAAGTAATTATTCTATTATTACCTGCTTTGTTGGAAGTCACATTTCAAATGGCTGTCTTGATAATTTCACATTTGCGGGGTAGATGGTTCTGACCATCCTTTTGCCTCCAAAACACAAATGTTTGTGGTTTTAGTCATGTCTGCCACTTGGGGGTCTTTTTTTGCCTGCCTTTTTGAAGCTATTTCAAGCTGTATGATTTTATGTAAAATGTAACTCCACGTGTGAACTGCAGCACTCGGCATCAAGTTGAAAGCAGAGTGAGGACACCTGGGCAACTTTGTGGCGCAGCCCTGTTCTCAGAGGGAACACCTCAGTCGCCAATTTGAGTATTAATGATTAGTTACTCCTACTTTCTAGATAACACATGTAAACGATGTTTTTAATTTTTCTTCCTGCACCCAAGGGACTCACCTTGCCACCACTCCCCCTACCTGGGGGTGCGTGCCTCCAGCAGGGAGCCTTGAACTTGGTTTCTCTGGGACTTCTCCTCTTCCCCCTCTGCCCTTCCCCATCAGAGCTTTCCAAAATGAAGCTCACCCTTCCCCCTCTCCTTAATTTCTGGTTGGAAGAAGGGGCCTGGGAATTGCCACTGTAACAAAGTCCAACCAGCAAGCCACAGGACTGAAAAAGATCAGTTTTCACTCCAATCCCAAAGAAAGGCAATGCCAAAGAATGTTCAAACTACCACACAACTGCACTCATATAACACGCTAGCAAAGTAATGCTCAAAATTTCCCAAGCCAGGCTTCAACAGTACGTGAACCGAGAACTTCCAGATGTTCAAGCTGGATTTAGAAAAGGCAGAGGAACCAGAGATCAAATTGCCAACATCTGCTGGACCATTGAGAAAGCAAGACAGTTCCAGAAAAACATCTGCTTTATTGATTATGCCAAAGCCTTTGTGTAGATCACAACAAACTGTGGAAAATTCTTAAAGAGATGGGAATACCAGACCACCTGACCTGCCTCCTGGGAAATCTATATGCAGGTCAAAAAGCAATAGTTAGAACTGGATGTGGAACAACAGACGGTTCCAAATCGGGAAATGAGTACGTCAAGGCTGTATACTGTCACCCTGCTTATTTAACTTAACCGCAGAGTATATCATATGGAATGCTGGGCTGGATGAAGCACAAACTGGACTCAAGATTGCCAGGAGAAATATCAATAATCTCAGATACGCAGATGACACCACCCTTATGGCAGAAAGCTAAAAACTAAAGAGCCTCCTGATGAAAGTGAAAGAGGAGAGTGGAAAAGTTGGCTTAAAACTCAGCTTTCAGAAAAGTAAGATCAAGGCATCTGGTCCCATCACTTCATGGCAAATAGATGGGGAAACAATGGAAACAATGACAGACTTTATTTTTTGAGGGCTCCAAAATCACTGCAGATGGTGACTGCAGCCATGAAATTAAAAGACATTTGCTCCTTGGAAGAAAAGCTATGGCAAACCTAGATAGCATATTAAAAAGAAGAGACATGACTTTGCGAACAAAGGTCGGTCTAGTCCAAGCTATGGCTTTCCAGTAGTCATGTATGGATGTGAGAGTTGAACTGTAAAGAAAGCTGAGTTCTGAATTGATGCTTTTGAACTGTGGTGCTGGAGAAGACTCTTGAGAGTCCCTTGGACAGCAAGGAGATCCAACCAGTCAATCCTAAAGGAAATCAGTCCTGAATCTTCATCGAAAGGACTGATGCTGAAGCTGAAACTCCAATTCTTTGGCCACCTGATGTGAAGAACTGACTCATTGGAAAAGACCCTGATGCTGGGAAAGATTGAAGGCAGGAGGAGAAGGGGTTAACAGAGGATGAGATTGTTGGATGGCATCACCGACTCAATGGACATGAGTTTGAGTAGACTCCGGGAGTTGGTGATGGACAGGGAGGGCTGGTGTGCTGCAGCCCATGGGGTCATAAAGAGTCGGACACAACTGGGCTACTGAACTTAACCAGCAAGCCTCAAATGGAGCCACATTTGGGAACCGTTAAAAAAAAAAATACTGTTAAAATTATTCACGACCCTGATTAAAGAACAGTAAGGAAACTATTAGAGGGTGTATTAGGTAGGGTTTTGCTGTAGGGGAGAGGTTGAACTCAACTCCCAGTACAAGGGAAGTGGCTGGGTGGGGGTCAGTGGATGGATAATTACTAAGAGGAAACACCAGGGTGAAGTGGGCTTCTGGCTACATCGACCTAATAAGATTATTGCTGGGAGCGGCCGGGTAATCAGACATGACCTGGGGGGATGGCATGGCGGTGGATGAGAATCAGGTGTGGAGGGTGGGCGGACTCCGGCTAATCCAGTATTAGCAGTATTCTAGGTAAAAATGGACAATGTGGAGACGCACGCGTAAGTCCAAAAGGCAGGGCCTCGTTGAGAAGAGTTCAGATCCCACCTGAATTTGGCCAAGGAGAGACTTGGTCAGGACCCGGGTCAGCGGAGGCCCGAGTGTCCCCCCTCCGGAGTCAGCGGGCGAGTCCTGCCCCACCGCGGAGGGCGCAGACCACGCGGCCCGCCGGCAGGGGGCGCGCCGGGTCCTCCACGCCGGCGGGCGGCCGGGAGCCGGAAGTGAGGGAACGTAGGGGAGCGCGGGGCGGGCCGCGGCGCGCGTGGGGCCGTGGCCCGGCCGGCGGGGCTCCCCGCTCCCGACCGCCGTCCGGATCCGCCTCCCGGGCCCTCCCCGGAAGCCAGGGAGGGGGCGCGGGCCCAGAGGTAGGAAGCCCGGCCTGAGGAGTACCGGGAACGCGGGCGGCTGGGTCGCGCGTCCCCCCTCGCCCTTCTCTAGCGGGCTGGCCCCGCTCTCGTCGCGCCCGGAGCGGCGCGGGGTCCCCGAGAGCGGGGAGGCCGAGAACTAGGGGCGCCGGGCGGGTCGCTGCGCCCGCGGGGCCGCCCCAGGCCCTCACCCGCGCCCCCCGCCGGCGGGGCCCATGGCCAGGGCTTGGAGGGCCCGGGTGCGAGTCCTGACCGGCCGTTTCAAACTTTTTTTTCTGTAACTTTGTGCGAATTGCTAAATGTCAGTTCTTCGTCTGTAAAATGGGCTTCAGAATATCCATCTCATGGTCAAATCAGTATATGCACGGAGCACCGCAGCTGTGCTTGTGCGGGGCGGTTATCGGTGCTCATTAGATGTGGCAAAGATTGAGGGCGGGGGGAGGGGCCACAGAAGATGAGATGGTTGGATGGCATCAGTAACTCAATAACATGAGTGTGAGTAAACTCTGGAAGTTGGACAGGGAAGCCTGGCGGCTGTAATCCATGGGGTCGCGAAGAGTCGGACCACACTGAGCGACTGAAAAACAGCCTTAGAGGTGGGAATGACTATTACCACCTCGAATTTTCACAGAACGCGCGCGCTGAGCTGTTTTCAGGGTTAACTGATCAGTGGAGGGTAGAGATCTGCACCCTTTGAGTCACAGGGTCGGGGTTGAGTTTCAGGAGGAGGGGCAGGGCAGGAATCCAGTGGGGGTGGGTGGGGAGAGGCCAGGTTAGATGAGAACCGGTCCCTGACCCCCCAAAGCCCTGGCTTCTGGATTCTGCATATTCAGGCACAGTGATCTCTGAGCCCCACCCCCCACCCCCACTGCTGGCTGAAATCTGACTGGTTAGAAGTATCTTTGGATTTAAGGGAGTGGGTGTTGGCCAGTGAAACCTCACTGTGAATCAAAATGGCCTTAGGGTTTCTTATAACCACTCCCAGATAGAGAGAAGGAGAAATCTGTGATGGGAGGAGGGGAGGGAGAGAGCATTGAGAGATGTTTTAAGGTTAGGGTAGTCTGGACACCCTGGGGACAGTGAGCATCTCCCATGGAGAGGAGGAGGGGCGCCTTCCTTCCTCCTGTGTTGAGGGGCTCAGTGCAGAGGCTCCTGGGAGCCTGGGGCCCCACTGCTGGTGGGGGCCCTGGGCCCTGAGTGGAGGGCTGCTTTGCCCTGACCACCATTGCCTGCCCACTCCACACCTGCCTCTTCATGCCCTGTGAATGACCCATCTGAGTCTCCTTGGCCCTGCTCACCTCTGGCCTGCCCTAACCAGTCACTGTGGCTGATGCCTGGGAATATTCTTATATATTAGAATTCACTGGACTTTGTTCTTTGTAGGAATTAAAGCTGGACTCCTGTTGACGACAGACGGACCTACAGTTCCTGGTGTGTGATAAGACAGTGGGATTTGATGTCCTGAAGTCACTAAGCTTGGACCCTGGTTCTTCTTCATGAGAGACTAAAGAGATGGAAGCCTTGAAGTCTGAGAATAGAAAGCGGGTGCTGCCCACATGGATGACAGCCCAGGTGTCTGAAAAGAGGGCGGCGCAGGTGAAGACCCCCAAGTGGAGACCAGCCACGGTGCCAGCGGCTGCAGCCAGGTGGGGCAGCTTCTGTCCTCCCGGGGACTAGAATGGGGAGCGATTGAAGGCCTCAGTTGCTGGGGCCCAGTCGTCCAGTGTTGGCGGAACAGTGAGGAGGGGGTGTTTCAGTCCACAGACGTCTCATCCACTCTTAGGGGGTGCGCAGGCTGCAGGTGGTTGTGCCCTGGCAGGCTGGCACTGGCTTCTGCCTCTGTTGGTGAATCTCCACCTTCAGGCCCATATGGGTTAGCTCCCAGATAGCAGTTCCAGCTCTTGAGTTAAACACACATCAGCCAAGCTGTCAGACACCAGTTGTCCAAACTGCCAGTATCTTCATTTGCTGCAGAAATTGTGACCATCCAGTGAGGGGGTTGGTGGACCAGGTGATCCCATGTTCCTGCAGATACATTTTCAGGGACAGGCAGACGAGCCGCAGGTTGCTGGGCCGGCCAGAAATCAGAGGTTGTGGGGGGTGGGGGGGAGGTTGGTTACATGGTGATATTGATGGGGTCTCCAAGCTGCCAGGGAGGGGGTACCCCTGTCCTCTCCGGGCCGTAGTCTCAGGTGCTCACTGTCCCTCTCTGACTCTTCCCTTTCTAAGTTTTCTTCAGTGACCAGCCTTGCTTTCTGATCTTTGCTGTGTTCTGCTTAGTCACTCAGTTGTGTCCGACTCATTGCGAACCTGTGGACTGTAGCCCGCCAGGCCCCTCTGTCCATGGGATTCTCCAGGCGAGAATACTGGAGGGGGTTGCCATGCCTTCCTCCAGGGGAGTCTTCCCAGCCCAGGGATTGGACCCAGGTCTCCCGCATCGTGAGGGTTTCTTTACCACGGAGCCACCGGGGAAGCCCTCCTTTACTGTATGCATGCATGGGGTGAGGGGTGGCATTCAGGCATCTCTTGGTCTGTCTGACTTTCTTGTGCGCGCACGTTTGTGTCTCTCTCAGGAGCCGGCCGTCTCACCTCATTTCTTAGCAGAGTTGGTGGATGGTGGGAAGCCCCCACGGTTGCCCCAAGAAGCCCCTGTGCCAGTCACTGGTTCCAGGGATGCAGAAGCCACGGCAGTGCCCTGGAGAGGCTGCTGCTCTCAGCCCTAGCAGACAGGCCCCGACATGCCACTCTGGGTCTCATTCTTCCCTCCTGGTAATTCGTGCCTGTCTCTAACTTCATGCTTTTCTCTCAGATTTCCTGCCGTGAGGACCGTGTACTGCATGAATGAAGCCGAAATTGTCGACGTTGCCCTGGGGATCCTTGTTGAGGTAAAGTCAGCCGTGTCTTCTGTTTTGTTAATTTTGTTTACGTATATATTTTGGCCGTGCTGGGTTCCCGCTGCTGCCCGGTCTTCTTCTCTAGTCACAGGGATCGGGGGCTCCTCTCTGGTTGCAGTGAGAGAGTTTCTCATTGCCGTGGTTTCTCTTGTTGTGGAGCATGGGCTCTAGGGCGCATGGGCTTCTGTAGTTGGCAGAGCACAGGTTCAGTAGTTGTGGGTCCTGGGCCCAGTGATTGTAGTGTGTGGGCCCTGCGTCACACAGGCTTCAGTAGTCGTGGCACATGGGCTGAGTTGCCCCGAGGCTTGTGGGGTCTTCCCAGACCAGGGATTGAACCCATGTCTCCTGCATTGGCAGGCGGACTTCTCACCACTCACCCACTAGGGAAGCCCAGCTGTGTCTTTTCTGATGACCAGAGACTCCTGGCGGGCAGAAACTAGACCAGGCCCTGGTTCGTGCTGATAAAAGAGGTGCCCTGCCTGTTGGCAGCCGGGAGCCCGCTCACCTGCAGCCCGCTCCAGGGGAGGGGTGCACCCGCCGGGCCCTTGGGGCTGGAGACCTGGGAGGCCGTGGCCGTGTGAGGGAGGGTGGCCCTCGCTGTCTGGGTGACTCTGCTGGTGGCCGGTGGAGGGGACAGGAGTCGTGGACTGCTTGTTCTCTGAGGGTCTCCATCGGGCGAGGTGACTTCTGAGCACCATCCTTAGCACCTCGCGCCTAACTCCCTGGCTTCCAGAAGCGGCTAACGGTTGTCCCACCTTCGAGTGGTGTGGTCCCTGAGAGTTGCTCGGGGCCTTTTATATATTCCTGTCCCATTTAATGCTTGCAGTAACCTGCCGGTCGATGCTGTTGCTAATCCCAGTGAGTGAGGCCCACACTCAGGGTGCGCGTCCTGTGCTCCTTTCATTCTGCCAGCCTGCCCTTCCACGTCCGTTGGGTCCACCTGTCTTCCCTGCGCCGCTGTTCCTCAGGCCCCTGCCCCGCTCGCCCTGCTGGTTCCGATTTCTGCAGCGCCTGAGAAGGAGGGCGGGGAGGGGCGGAGTCGGGTGGGGGGCCCGGCCCCCCAGTGCTGGCTTTACAGATGCTACTGGGTACGTTCTGTGTCTTTGCACGTTAGGGAAGTAAAACCCATCTGTTTTGCCTGCCGTTTCTTCTGCTCAGGAGGACCGAAAACAGGAAAAGCCGTTGGAGCTGCCACCTCTGGCAGGCGCTGATAAGCCAGAGCGCTCACCGGCCAGCCCAGCGCCACCATCCCCAAGTCCCCCCTGGAGCGGAAGTGAGGACAGTGAGGAAGAGGACCGTGGGGCCAACAGGCCTGCCTCAGGGCCCGCAGGTTCTGACGCGGCCTGCAGCAGAAGCCTCGAGGAAGACCAGGACGAGCTAAAATACGTCAGGGAGATCTTTTTCAGCTAAGGGACAAAGTTCCAGGACTCTCTGCTCAGAGTGGCTGAAGGAAGCTGGGTTTCCCCTCTCAGCCTGGGCGCTGCCTGTCAGACTGCGACAGCTTCTGCCCCCAGCGTGGAGCCTCCCTGGACTGGGTGGGTTCACTGGGGGAGGTGAGCAATCAAAATGAGCTCCTCCCAGAATTCCTGCTCTCTGCCCTCCTGCTCAGGGGACTGGGGGCTCGACACTGTCTTATTCAGGTACCTGGTTCCAGAGAAATGAGATCATGGGGGTCAAACTTACTGGAACTGGGAGTCAACTTAATAATTTTCAAGGAAAAACAAGTATGGCTCCTAAGTACACTGAAATTCCTATGGTTTGGCCACCCAAGGAGGAAGCCTATTTTTAAAATCTCTTCCGTCATGTGTCAGTCAGTCACTGAGCCCTTGTTGGTCCAACCCTGAACTGGACACCTTCCCCCAGGGCTGGACTGCCCGCTGAGAGCCTGCCTGCGGTCCCATGTACAGATTGGGAGGCCTGCCCACCAGCCAGCCCTCCTCCCCTGGGCCGCCACCTTTCTAGGCCTCGGCCTTGGTCCCTGGGCAGTTAGTAAGAGTGGGATAGGAGCCCCAAAGAGACAGTGACGGCAAGACATCACACTGGAGTCCATGTTTCTGCCTCTATTGAGTGTGGCTCTGCACAGGGGTGAGCCGGTCACATGTTGTACAGATTGTCAGTGTAACAGATGCTGGAGAATACTCAAAGCACCCCCGTGCGTGAGCGGTGCTCGTGTCCTTTCCAGTGCCGGGTGAGAGGGGAGGGGATGCGGCGTTTACATGGACGTGGGCTGGTTCAGTCCCGTTCATCTTCCTCTCCTGACCAGGGATCTGGCCTATTGAGCTCCTGAAAGCCCAGGTCGCATGCTGGGAGAGGTCTATTCATACGTAGTGGTTAGACCCTTGTTCTGTCTTCAAGCCCAGGAGCCTTTTCAGGGGAATGTTCAAAACCGCCAGACTGTTCTCTGTGCATTTTTGTTCTGTGAATCCCTCAGATCACTCCTCGGCCTTTGGGAGCATTGTCTCGAATGGAGATGGGGAGCTTGCTAGGCTGGGTTCCTGGGAACACCGAGGCGTTCCTTCATAAACCATCACCGGTTCCCGTCTGGCATTTGGCAGCTTGTCCTGGAAATCTGGCCCCAGTGACAGGAAGCCTTATCTCCCCATTGTTCTGAGGATCAAGTCAGAATGGCTTGCTCAGGTCACTTAACTAAAGCAGGAATTCTTGCGACAATGAGCTACGTGGTTCTCCGGTGTTCTTAGAAGTCCCAAAGGACAGACCACCCTATCCTAAGAAGCCGAAGGGGCGCTGGCTGCCCTCACTGCGTCTTGTCCTCCTTAACGTTGGGCGCCCAGCCCCTCCGTGGGGGGTCCAGCCTGCTCCAGCTGGAGCTCAGGACTGGCTCTGAAACAGGGTGGCCGAGAAGACACACCAGCCCGTGCATTCTCTGGCAGCCTTCTCTGAGCACAGGTCAAAGCGAACCCTTGCGATCACGTAAGCCTTTAAACGGAGCTAGCAGCTCCCCAGCTCCTGTCCTCTGCCCTCTGAGGGAACACAGCTGTGGCCACAAGCAAGAGGATGAGCAAGGCCTGGGCAGCACCCAGAGCTAGAGACCCGGGTCCCAGAAGGGAGAGCTGGAGCCACTTCCAGGTGTAGATGAGGAAGAGGCCCAGACCACTGGCCAGCAGCGCGGAGGACGTGGCCAGGAAGCCCACGGCCAGCTGCCACTCCCCCTCGTTGTTGTTGCACCAGGCCAGGAGGAGAGGCAGGGGGACGAAAAGGGTGAGGACCAGGGCGCCGTACACGCCGAGCCTGGCCAGGGCCAGGCCCACCCGAGGCACGCCCAGGGCCTCCAGCTCCGGGAACTGGTAGCACTGCAGGGCGCTGGCACCCTCGTGCCAGAGACAGAAGTTGTAGAAGCCAACCCTGAGGTTGGGCAGGTCCACAAGGTTGCCGGCCTTCCAGAGGAGAGCAAAGAAGAGCAGGCAGATGACCGTGATCGTGAGGGCCATTGTGCCGAGGAACAGCAGCTGGCTCCGCCGCTTTGACTTCAGAACAATCATCTTCATGCCCTTCGCAGGGTGCCTCCTGGGTCCCTGTAGGGGAGGTCACACCGTGAATGTCCAGCTCGCCCTGCCTCCCTCCCAGTTTCTTCTCAAGGTCCTGTTCTGGAATTCCACAGAATTCCTACTTGTGCCCTACTTCCTTCAAGACAAAACCAAACCCAGCCCCGGCCACAGCTGCCCATCGTGGTGGGCAGTGCTGGGAGTGGTGGCCAGCGGTGGCCCCTGGGGACCGCCCTGGCGATCAGCTTCTGGAAGCCCCCTTGGGAGGCACAGCCCCTCCCCTTTCCCCATGCTGGCTGGAGGGTCTGCCTGACCACCCCACACTCGTCCTGCACGTGGAAGGACAGAGGAAAGCCGTGAGAGGGGACAGGATGTGGACAGGCTGTAGGGGAGGGTAGCATCCGCCCGCACAGGCTGCTGCCACAGGTTACTGTGGACGGGGTGGCTCGTCGGCTGCAGAGATTTATTTTCCCGGTTTTGGAGGGTGGCAAGCCCCAGATCAAGGCACTGGCTGATTCAGGGTGTAGTAGGGGCCTGATTCCTGGTTCCCAGACGGTCCACCTTTTGCTGTGTCCTCGTGGGGTGGAAGGGACAAGGGAGACCTCAGGGGCCTCTTTTTTTAAGGCACTGATCCTATTCAAGAGGGTATAGTGTGAATCCCTGCTCTAGACCTAATCACCTCCTAAGGCCCCACTTCCAAATGCTGGGGGTTAGGCTTCAGTGCACAAATTTGGAGGGACACACGTTCAGTCTGCAATAGGCAGCTGATGAGAATAAGGATTTATCAGCAACTCCTTTGGCAGAGGCAGAAAGATGTATCAAATATTAGAATGATGTGTTTAGTCCATGTTATTAGACTGGTAGGGTGAGAAGTTTTTAACCAGTCCAACCCATGGCATGAGAAAAATTGCCAACAGGAACATAGTTTGCACAATTTTGCATATTAACAGATGTTTGTAAAAGCCTGTATGTAAATTTTTGATGGATGTAGGAATTTCGGGGTGTCAGATGGACTTCCAGGGCTGGAATCCAGATTTATACCACTGTGTAGTGGGAAATAAGATTCCACTTGCCTCAGTGGTCCAGGAACCAGTAGGCTGGGAGTTGGGTTGCCTGTGTATAAATGCTCCGTCTTCTCCTATTTCAAGCCTGTTCCACTTGGGCTTTTTGAAAAAAAGGTTATTATCAAGCTTAATGCAAAAAGATTCCTGGGGCTTCTCAGAGGAGATTGTACAGCTGCCTCACACAGCAGCTCCCCAGGCACCCAGAGCCTTTGTTTTTGACTTCCTGTCCTCTCTGGACTGACCTTTTGGAGGTTTTCAATAGAGAATGAAACAAAATAAAACTGGAGCTGAGAGGCCCGTGAGCAGACATGCGGGTGGCAGTCCAGGTTTCCTTCCTCTCAGCCCTTTGTGCAGATAGAGTCCAGTCCCACCTCCACCGCCTGGGGCAACTGAGAACTTGAACCTGGGTTCTCCAGGCCGGCCCTGCTGCCTTCGGTCTTCCCTCCTCGCTTTGCCCCTGCCCACCAACACCCTTCCTGACCGTCCACCCCCTCAGCTGCTGCCCCTCCTCAGTTCAGTTCAGTCCAGTCGCTCAGTCGTGTCCGACTCTTTGTGACCCCACGGACTGCAGCACGCCAGGCCTCCCTGTCCATCACCAACTCCCTGTTTTCTGCCTCTCTGGGTTCTGCTGATTTTCCACCCACTTTCTCAGGCTACTTCAGCCCACACTCTGATGTAGCTGAAGGCCAGGTTATGTGTTCCCCCTGCTGTAATCTTTCTGGGAAACAGTCTGTCTATTTTATCCCCAGAATGGTGCCTGATACACAGTAGGAACTTTTGTTTTTTTGAATGAGTGAAAATGGCACATGGCATCCTTTAGGTACCGCACGTACTGATCTGTCAGACCTCTCTGACAAGACGCAGAGCTCCGTGAGGTGAGGGGCTGTGCTGTGTGTCTGCTCCGCACTTCCCGGGATGTGGACAGAGAGCTTGGGGGCTCGGCCTCGCCCTTTTCTAAACATGTCCCAGTGAAAGGATATGGTTATTTGGTTGGAAAACCCTAGGGCACCCTTCTCTGCCTTCCTAAGAGCCTACCCCGGTTTTTTGTTTGGTTTTGGGCTTTAACAATCCTTGTAATCTGTTCTCAGCACAGTGAGCTCTTTAATCCCCTTTACTGATAAGCCTGCGCTTCCCTCAGCGGGCAGAAGGGAGACCGCTGAGTCACTGCTGCTATTTTTAAGTGAAGTCTTTCCTGGTTTTAACAAAGTAATGCATGTTGGTTGTAGAAAATCAGAAAAATGTGAAAGTATGGAGACAAGACTAAAAATCATTCGTAACTTCAAGGTTGTAGAAATAACCACCCAGCAACACATTTCTTCCTATAATGTTTTCTGTAACTGGTATTGCATAAATATGTGTGTGTGTATCCTGCTTTGTAACCATCACTGTCACGTGAATATTCCCCTTTGTCACTAGAAATGTTTCCTAAACAATGTTTTTAAGGGCTGGGTTAGCTGTACTATCATGTACGGTTTATATATTCTGTTTTATGACTTTGTTTTGGTGCACGGTCTATATGTCCTGTTTTACAACACTGTTTTGCAGCACTGTAAATAATACGCCGTGGTGGCTTTGTGTGTGAATCAGTGTATTCCTCCCCCAGAAGTTTGAGAGTGCTTGTCTGATACATCTTACTGAATTTTCTCATCTTTTCATCTTTGATGATGAAAATGACACAGCATTGCTGTTCTTGACTAAGGTTTAACGTTTCTCTAGTGTTTGTTGACTCTTTTTTTTTTTTTTTTAATCAGAGGGGGTGGAATGCTGTTACTTCCTTTTTTTTTCCCATCGTTTTTAGTTTTGGTTTTTGTCAGTGTACATGAGCTCTTTATAAATAAAGGCTGCTAGCGTTTTGCTGTCATAACAGTCGTCATAAAGCATAACCCTTTTGTGGCAGTGGGGCCCCTGAACCAAGACACGAATCTGGACTCCGTAAGTGTGTGGCTTCACATTTGTCACCAGAAGGAAAATACTCAGAGTATTCATCTGAGGCACTTCATGTTTTTTTTTTTTCAGTTTAAGCACCTCTGAAGTTTTCACATCAATAGGATGATGGTTGGAAGAGGCACAGACATAGGGTCCCGGTCTACTAAATTATGTTCTTGCCACTTTCATGTTGAAAGAGCGAGACCTCCCTGAGGCCATGTCAGGGAGGATTAGACCGGCAGGTTGTCACCCTGCCAGGCCCTCTGGCTGCCCACGCCCTGAGTACAGGGCTCCTGGCAGCAGAAATCGGTGCCCGGGAGCTTTCCCAGTGCGGGTGCACCCCTGGCCTCTCCTCTGACTGTAAGGAACACTTGAGAAGGGCTGACTGCGCAGGAGGCTGGCTCTTGCCACCGACACTGGTTTGTTTACTTCAGATGGTCGGAGGCCCAGCGCGTGCTCTCTCTAGTTGCAGAATCAGAATGGACTTTTCCAAACTTCCCATCGACCTTCTGTTACAGAGGAGGTCTGTGGCTACAATCTCCAGCTCCCAGACACTTCTTTCTTATATGCTAGAGTATCTGCCAGCTTAATCATTATGTGCCTTATATACAAATACTGATCATGCACTTGTTTATAACTTCTGATTTGTCACTGGGGCTTCCCTGGTGGCTCAGTGGTAAAGAACCCGCCTGCCAATGCAGGAGATGGGGATTTGATCCCTGGCTCGGGAAGATCCCCTGGAGGAGGAAATGGCAACCCACTTCAGTATTCTTGCCTGGAAAATTCCGTGGACCGAGTAGCCTGGAGGGCTACAGTCCGTGGGGTGGCAAAGAGTGACTTAGGCACTAAAAACAATTTGTCACTGCTCTAATCATGGTTTCACATATTCCGTTTTCATCTGTCCCAACATGTGAGATGCCCACACAGCTCCCTCTCTACACTGACTTAGCAAAAATACCCTCCCACCCCTGTAGTCACTCATGTCATTGTTTTTTTTTCAGTTCATTCTTCCTGCCTGAAGGTCTAATGATATTCAGTGACAAGACTTTATATGTACAGTTGGGCCTTATTTAGTTTCTCGCCGTTTGCCCAAGTTCACCACCTGTATGTCTGTCCCAAGAGATGCGTCCTAGGGGCCCCGGCGCTGCCCCTCACATCAGAGGCCACCGGTGGGAAATTCTCCTTCATCCATGAACTGTTTAATAAGCCCTTCTAGGTGCCCATGGGAGAGGCAGGCAAGTGTCTGCAGGTGTGCCCTTCAGTCCCAGCTCCCTCCCAGAGGGTGGGGACGAGACTGGAACGCCGAATTCCTGGGCTGGGGAAGACCACCATGAGCTGTGCCTGTCAGGCGTGTCGTGTGGAGCTCGTTACCCGGGGAGACTCCGGATGCCACGGGCGTCCGCTTTGCCGGGACGATGTTTGCAGTAATGTGGCCTCCCTCCTGCTTCCTCGGGAACAGGGCTTCCAGGGCTGTAAGTGCCCCTGTCGCCCCTGGGCGCCTTCTGCCCTTATTCCTGCTCTCTGCCCCCTCCCTCGGCTCCTGCCACGCTGGCTTCTGTGAGCATCCTCCGAAACCTTCAGACGAGCTCGGGCCTCTGTGCTGGCATCCCCCTGCCTGGACTGTTCCGTTATCATGTGCCTGCCGCCTCCCTTGGGTCTCTGCTCAGATCCTTTTCTCAGTGACGCCGTCCCTGGCTGGCACCTTGAAACTGTGACTGCTCCTCCACAGCACCCGGCTCTCTGTGCCCCTCTCCTGCTCTCCCTCGGTAGCATTTCCCACCATCTGACATCCTAAATACTTTGTTTTGGCTTCCGCCTACAGCCCTCAATAGAATGTAAACTTCATGAGGGTAAGGAATTTTATGTTATGCAAAGTAGACAAAAGTCTCTGGCCATCTGTCTTTATCAAAATCTGTCTTTAACTGTTATACCCCCAACACTCCCTGGCACGTCTGTGACTATCCACCAGGCAACCTCTGAATGCAGCGTGAACGTCAGCCGTGGCCCACAGAG